ATATATTATTTTTTTTATTTGATTCTCTTACCAGACGCCTTCGATATATCCAGGATTTTTATAAAAAAAAATTCTTCTGCAGTTAAAAGCTATGATCGTCACAAAACATGAAAGTCCCTGGATCTTTGCTGAAAATCATATTACCCAATAATTAGCCGATCCAGACTTTCTAAATTACCCTGTATTAAATAAAAAATTAGTATGTAGATTCCAGAGGAATCACACCAATCACCTCCTATACGAGAAAAATAATCGCTATTCTTCGGCAAGAATTTTGCCAATAAATTTTTTTTATTAATAACCGCCAGAATAATTTTTTATTGATTGACGGCATTTCATAAGATCTTAGCTCCATTAATACAAAAATAGCATGTCTATATCTAAAAATATGAGCACTGCGAAAATAACCTATACGATGATTCAGTCTATGCGAATATGTGATTTTGCTTGATAATTCTTCTAGGCGTTCACTGTCACTGATTGAGGTGTGGGATCATCAAAATACGTCTTATGCTCCTCGAGAACTTCCATGATTATTTTATCAAAATCGACATCAGCATCATTTACTTGGTTCCTCTGGGACCCTTTAGGCTTAGTTGGTGCTTTTTCCTCTAACTCCGCTATTCTTGCCATTTCTTCACGCGTAAGCCTTTCATAAAGTTCATGATCATACTCGTCATCGGAGTCATCGGATTTGAAATACACGTCAAAATCAGATTTATTGCATCAGATTCATTGGCGTTAGAGTCATTGTCACTTTCGTTCGTTTCTCCTTCCTCCTTATCAAAATACATATCTGTCTTAGCTCGCGATACTGGAGTTACTACACTTGCCGACGTTTTGTTCTTTTTCTCTATCCCAGCCTCATATGGTGTACCCCAATAAGCGGTCTTCTCGTCAATAGATCCTGTGATCATTTTTAGATAATCCTCCTCTTCGGCTGATAAGGATGAATTTTCTTTAGGTATGGACATAGTTAGAGCACTTACTTCAGTCGATTCATTCGTCCCTTCTTCTTCCTTAAAATAATCTATAACATCTGAGGTATCACTAAAATTATCATCTGAATTAGAGTCATGAGCTGAAGTAATAGCCACGGGTTCGGAGATTTCATTTACAGAACTAGTGATTGTCTTTGATTTGACTTATTCTATGATGTATTCGATTTGAGAATTAGTGAGTCTTGAAATACTATCAACACTATAAGTGACCTGCTGAATCATATGTCTGCCTATACCTTTTATCTTTTGCAGAGTTACAGGATCATATTCATAACCAAATAGCTTATTGATTTTTCTTGCTTTGCTTGTTATCTTCCGTAAATATCCATCGGAAATACCTGTAAGATATGGTTTCATTTCAGCGTAAATTTGTGATCTTGCAGTCTTATCCATAAGCTTTTTATTTTTAGACCTAAACTCCACAACCTTGTCTTCGAATTTTTCAGAATAGCATCACCATAATGAAATCTCTGTTTGCTTCGCTATGATCGATTTATTTCTTGCATCATTTGCTTAGCAGAATGAATTGGCAAGTCTCTTAATACTTATCGATCCAAGAATTATGGTTTTTAGAAAAGAAAATTTTATATGTTTCAGAAGTCAGTTGTCAGAAGACAACAGCTCTTCTAACAAACCTTGCATGAATTCAGTAACTATCTTTGAGGAAATACCCCCAGTGGGATAAGTCTAGCCATTTACAACATCCATAGTTGATGGCTCCCCTTCGAGACCTGATAATCTATCAGAAGAATCTTGTGACAAATTCGAATTTTCAGAAAAACCGTGAACACTGTTCACTGTTTTTGAATCACGTGATAATTCAGAATTTTCAGAAAGTCCAACTTTTATATCTTGAAAGATATCTACGTTGACCGTTTGCAAAGCGACCACCTCTATTCTATGAGATAATTCTGAGGGAATACAATTAGTAATATTATTAATCTCTGGCTCGTCTGATTTCTCATTGCTAACAGTTTCTGATGCATACACAGTATTAGAGGTGACAGTTGATTCACGCTGGAGTTTCTTCTCCTTATTATGTCACCTAATATCTTCACCAATACTTTTCTTATTTTCATTGACCAAGAATATGTCCATCTCTTTCTCCTGTGATGATTTTTCATAATGATTTGCACTTGAATTGGCTGAAGGCGCTAAAGCAAAGTTAGAAGAGTTGTTATTAGTAATATCATCTTGCGAATGCTTCTGTTCTAATGTAGGAACTCTATCAATGGTATCCGTCTTATTTTTCTCTAGAACCTCAATTCTAGCGTCACGTCTATTATTCTCTTCCATCATCTGCTTTATAAGCTCTACATTTTTGGCCTCAATCTCGGCAACCTTCTTTCTAAGCTCGTGAATTTTGACATCCCTAGCTTCAAATTCAGCAAGCTTCTTTTTAAGTTCGGGAATCTCAGAATTCTTGACCTCGAGCTCAGCCTCAAGCTCGGTAATACGTTGCTTTAATAGATCTATTTTGGATTTCATGTCTGTGTAATATCAAATGTTAGTATTCAAAATCGATAAAAATATGTAGATTATTCGGCTGATCCAGATTAGTTA